TCTATTTTGTTAGACACTCAATCGGGAGCAGGTCAAGGCAAAAACATTATCAATAACATGCTCCCGATTGACAGTCTAATAAAGTATGCGGATGAAAAACGTATTGATCTGGCTTTACTGGCATACGACCAGGAAAGGCATTTGATAGAGAAAATGAAGGATAAATATTAAGGTAGGGATAAAATTGGAGGAATTATATGATTTTCGTGCATTTGTAGTACTTCGGTAGGCTATTTATGTATATTCTAGTCCTAAATTGACCATCGAAAATACTGAACATTATTCCCCTTTAAATGAAAAACAATGTTCATAATAGCCCACATACAATTATCAATAATCAAAATATCAAAAAGATATTCCTTCAGAATCTTTTTTTCGGAAACATTCTGAAGGACTACACCTTCATACTCATTTCCGTCCAATAGATCAACTCTTGCTATGTAGTTCATTTTACGAGATTTCCCGGAAACTTGAACTACAACGAAGTCAATATATGTAATAGTCAGAATGTGTTGATGTAATTGTGAACATGTGTTGATGATATTGGGGTAAGATGAGCCACATATGGGGCAAGTTGATCATGGCTCAACATACCCCATCTTTACTGGCTCAACTTACCCCACTCTTATTAAAATTCAACATGGCAGGGCAACAAGCACATGGTTTCTACATTAATATAAGATTACATGATCAAAGCCAACATTTCAAACTATTGCACAGTGCAAGAAGATATCAGAAATATGGACTAGTATTGAGGAAATTAAACTACATACCTTAAAACGAATATTTTACTTTTCTTGGTGAAAAACACTCAAAGTTGTTAAACCTTGTTAAGCTTCTAAATTCTTTGACATTGACATTAAAGGGAAGTAACTCTTACATTATCTTAACAAGTGGACCTTCTAAGTTATACCTCTTCCTAGACGGCATTAAGAGGGGGTGGCTCAACTTACCCCATCCTTCCCTACAGGTCCTTATAAAAGGCCTGGACAATGCTGAGGATGTCTTCCAATCTTCCCAGTTTTATCTTCCAGTTTCCGCATCTCCTTTCTTGTCGAATTATCTAATTCTGCCTTTCGAAACATTCCGAGATTTTCAATGTCGGAATCCTCGAAAGGCAGCTTGGATCGTATCAGAATGCCTTTATTAATTTTATTTTCTTTTTTTTTCAAGTTTGAGTACCGTGTTTCCAGACGGGTTTTATTTTGTTGGTCTAAAGTAAGGTAAGTTTCAATTTCGTTTATTTCGTTTTGTATGTTTTCAATTTCAGCTTTGATAGATTTGGTTCTAGTTTTTGAGTATCGGATCGAGATAGTTTTAATTTTAGCTTTACCTTCCTCCCACCAGGAGGTTTGGTCTTCGTAGTCGGGTCTATTACCCTTCCAATCAGACCAAAACTCCCGGATGAGAGTCTGGTACTCAATGTCCTCAAGAATGGAATTATTCAGTTTCCATTTCCCTCTCCCCCATCGTGCGGACCCAAGGTTAAGGGTGAGTTTAACCGCTTTGTGGTCGGAGAATAAGGAGTTGAGATGGATTATATCTTGTATTTTTTTGGAGAAGTGGCAAGAAAGGTAGATACGGTCTATCCGGGTGCCAGAAGCATCTTTCAAGAAGGTATACTGTTTGTTTCTAGGGTACTTGGATCTAAAGGCGTCCTCTACTACACAATTGGTTTGCATCAGATGCAGCTGACTCAGTGCAGTAAGAGGTTGGTTGATCATGATATTATTTTTACTGTCTAGTTTAGATTCTATGAGGTTGAAATCACCGCATATTACAAAAACGTCTCTAATGTTGAAATGTTTAGAGACGTAGGTGTTGACCTCAGAATAGAAATCACCTTTTTCTTTATGTTCGTTCCGCCATATACATTGATGATATGAATCGTGGCGTCATTACCGGTAAGTACTAAATGCAGAAAGCGACCAGTTAGTTTTGAAATTGTATAAGTACGGACTAATTTGAAATCTTTTGAATAGAGTGTGGCGACACCTGCCGTGCTTAAATTAGTGCCGTTGGAGAAAACTATGTTAAATTTAGAGATGGTAGAAATATCTGTAGAATTTTGATCAGTAACGATTCCTGTAAGCATGCAAAATCGTTTAATTTAAAGAAATCTAAAATTTGATGTTTTTTTTGTGTCAAAACCGCGGTAAATATTTAAAGTTGATATGATCATGATATGAATTTAATAAGGGATGAAAGATTGATTTCAAATAGTGAAACAGTGATATGATATTTTAACCCCAAAATTAGTTTTTGACACTTCTGTTGTGTGATGATGATCTCTGCCGGTCTTTCTGAACTCTACCGGCATCGCATCTGCTGACCCTAGAGTCCTGACTACCCACAGTGCTATCTCGTGAGATAGATCTCTGGGTAGTCTTTCTATGGTCTTCTATTCGGTTTTTCTTTTCTTGATTATCTTCGAAAGGGCTTGTTATTGGACGTTTAGTGGAGGTTTTTGCCGGGGTTTTGAAGGTGGTATTTGTGGATTGGTTTAGGGTTTCTGACGCCCGGTTAATTGATCTTTGTAGACTTTCTGCTGCGGTTCGAAGATCAATCTCCTCTCTGCTTCGATCATAGTCGTCGATGTTGAGCTCGTCCCAACCCGAGGGAAGCTCAATATCGATGTTTGGGACGGGAGTAGAGGTTGCCCTTTCTGGTTCGGCAATGTTTTGTTCCTCGTACTCATTTCTTATTTGTTGAATTTCGGCCATCAGAGCTTCAGTTCTGTCTCCGATGCCGAGACTTTCAGTTAGATTTGACTTGGGTTTTGGATCTGGTTTGGTATGGAATTCCTGAGGGCTCTCTATGGCTATTTCAGAGAGACTTTATCAGCGTATGTTTGAGAGCTTGTTTTGCCTACTGCTGGTTTTTGGGCAGCAGGTATTGGGTCAGGGACACGGTGAGGTTTAGGGCAATCTTTTGCTAAGTGGCTCTCACCGTCACACAAGAAACATTTTTGGATCGTCTTGGGCTGGTTCTCATATTTTATACCCAGCTTGTGATTATCGATCAGGATACTGGAGGGGATTGGTTCTTTATCTCCTGTGTAAAGATAAATCTCACACCAGTATCGATGTTTGGATGGCGTGAGAAAGTATTTCTTTTAATGCGTAGTGAAGCACAGAATGCTTGTAATTTTGTCAGAATTACATCATTCCGCATCTCGTATGGTACACCGTAAACCATGATACGGATATCAGGCTTACGGTTCAGAGCTTGGATGTTTTTAGCATGTTCTATTTCAAATTTGATGTTATTATAAATTTTAGAATCTTGTTTAAACCATGCATGAAATTGTTCGAGATCTGTCTGATTTTCGAAAGAAATCAGAAATTTAGCTCTCCCCAAGTTTTGGAAGCCCCTAATGATGGTCATAGGGGACTTTCTTTCCTGCATGATATCCAGAAAGTCTTGCGAGTTGATGTTTGATTGCAGAGCCCCTTCGGGTTTAATCTGCATGGTAAACTTTCTTTCGATCATGTTGAATTAGTAATTTTATAATGTACAAATTTTTTTTTTTGAAAGGTGCAAAAAGGAATAGAAAAAATGAATATAATTAAAAAAAAAATAAATAAATTTGAAGAAGTTGGTGTTGAAGGACTGTTGACGGTCGGACAGGTGAAACAAATAAAAGTTAAAGCACAACAATAACACACAATTTTGGATGGGTGAGTTTATTTACAAAACACAGATGGCCAGTAGATTATAATAGGGTGGTGTTGTTCTCTAGAGGCTATAGCCGGTCGGCGATCTTGAACTTTGACCGCCTACAAAACCTATTTCCGGGTTGATCAAAAATGGCTAGCTAGCCTCTGCAAAACTGGACAATTTTTATCTGTGTGAATCGTCTTTGGTTGTGTGTGCAAATGATGAAATATGTGCTGATGATATAAATAAATACCTGTCCTTAAAAGATAGTTGACCTGTGAGCATGTTGAATTTAGAGTACTAACGTGATGACTTAATCATTAGCCAAGGATCTTTTCATTCAAACCTGGACATACTCACCTCACCAACTGTTATTTGCTCAAGCGAGAGCCTCAACCAGTCTGTGAGCACTGCCAGATCCGCCTGACAGTGAAACACATTCTGATTGAGTGTAAGCATCTCAAACCTTTATTTCAGCTTTTTGCGCAACCTTCTCTTTATGAGAAGGTTGTGGCTATTTTAAAACAAGCAGGTCTTTATTTTAAATCTTAAATAGATTAGTCATTGTTTGTTTTAAATATTTTGTTTGTTTTTAATACCATCATGTGGTGTATTACCTGTGATATTGTTTTTAGTATTTTTTTGTAGTCATTAAATGACTTTTTCTGTGATATGGTTTTTATCGTCTTTTTTTGTTGTCACTATGTGACCTTTCTGTGATATCGACTGGAAACGGTTGGACAGAATGCCACCATCCGTGTTGTTTATGCTAGACATCTTTTTTAGCAACACGCTCCCCCATCCTTTGTCGAGGATGCTATTTACACTGCTTTCGAGCACTTCCGTAAGTTTCTGCAGTACGACTGCGATTTCGCCCCCACTGACGTTTGGCGCACCAGCAGAATACACCCACTCAGGCTTATTTGGCATTCCTGACGGCCTTCACCACCAATCCCCGCATCAAAGAGAAATTGGCTGACATCTTTGCCAAGTACGACACTCGTGAGGCCGACCCTGAGTTCAGTCCGGATTCTATACCAGGTTCCTGGTGACTTCCCTCTGCCTTCAGAATTTTCAACGGCCCGGCGTGGCACAAGGCATGTCGGTACACGATTTCAAGAACGCTAAAGCCCATGATGGTGAAAACTATTTCATTAGCGTCTCCGACCACAAGAATAGGACACACAGTTTAGCCACCATCGTCATCCACCACAAGCTGTACCAGAAGAGATTTCGCCAAAAGGATTTGCCTGGGCGTGACAATTCAACATTAGCGCTTCGACACCCGAAAAACTTTCGCCAATCTCAGCAAGGAGATAACAGATAAGTATCAGCTGCCCAAAATGACCTGCACTACATCAGGCATGCTGTCGAGAGTGAGGCTGTGACAGTAGCAAGCCCAGCGCAGTTGAGAGCTCTCGAGCAGATGCTCAACAACTCGGAGTCCACCACCAAGCGCTACATGATAAGGTTGTTGCATTTCTGAAACAAATACATTTTTATTTCAAATTTTGTTTGATTTTAATATTCGGTTTGTTTTTAATATCACCATGTGGTGTATGACCTATAATACTGTTTTTATTAATTTTTTTGAAGTCAGTCAGTGACTTCTTTTTCTGTGATATTTTCTTGTTTTGTTCTGTGATAT